CCGAAATTGTTGGAAACACGTTTATTCTGGACCCTAGGAGTGTCCACATTTGAGCTACCAGCACTGACGGATTTTCTGCAGGGTCGCTGTACAGAAAAATGTGCTTTTTTTTCAAGGGCGGCAAAGACTAAGACCCAGGCAAGAAGTACGACCTATTTCAGGGATGGGTCCTCAAGAAGTTCGACGGCTCCGTCGTTGCGATCACACGCAAGGGCGTTCGACCACTTGGGCACCGGCGGCATCGGCGAGGCGTCTCGGGGAGGACCCGTCACCTCTAAAGGATTCCGTTAAGGGTTCCAAATTCGGGCTTTGAGGGTTCTAGAACTCCGAAGAGGGGGTTTAAGGGTTTGGGGTTGAGGGGGCCTGCTTTGGCATGGTATTGTGTGGGACCAGATTTATAAAGGACTCATACGTTTAGGCCTGTGGGCAGGGTTCTAGTTTTCGTTCGATAACACAAACTTTCTGCAGCATCCTCGCGAAGCTACCTGAAGAAAAGCATGAGCGCTGGAGGAGGAGGAGGAGGAAAAGGAGAAGCCATTCTGACTCAGACTGAGTGGTTATGCCATGTACGGCAGTGCACGGCTCCCGTTTTAGCTCGTCGAAGACGTTCATGAGTCGTGCTCTGACCTAACTTTTTAAGATCTGTTATCCTGGGCCCAAGACGGGGCATCCAACTGTCACGACCGTTGCGGCAAGATGAGAAAATGCTGCCATCCTCCAATCCGAGACCCCACACCCTAATGACATATGGATCCTCGCCTGGCATGTCCATGTTGTGAGAGCGTAGACCCTAAATGAAGTATATCAGGCCCTTGCCCCTGGCAGAGGGCTGGCTTCGAACATCGGGGCACTCAGTAATCAAGGTTAGAAGGTTAGAAGTTGGGAAATAGTCTACAGGTGCGAGATTCTGTATACGAGAGCGACATGTCAGTCCTATCATATGGAACCGGTGTAGACCCCCAAAAAAGAGGATGCTCAGTGGCTTAGTGTTGATTGCCTTACGCTTTAGGCAGTTCTGGTCCATGGTTTACCTCCTAACATGGATATTTGCAGGGCTTGTCCACCGACAGTATTGTCAAGACCGGCTGCGACTGCAGAAGTTGCTTCCACTGTGATTGACTTGATCATCAACGTTCGGTTTGGGATGTCATGGCTGGCCAGCACCATCCCGACTGGGAGAAGGAATAACACCACCTGGCTTCTGTTTGAATGTTGTTCTTTAAAGGGTGTAGCAAGTTCAGAATCTAGGGATTTTACTTATGGGCTATAGCCGGCGATGGTGTAGAAGCACCGCAAGGGAGCCGCACAAATCCTCTGGGCACTGTTTCTCGGGATGGGGATGCTGTGGTCAGTTTAAATATCAGCTGCGTGAAATCCAACCTCCCTCGTCCTCGTATGAACCTTAAACTTAAGCCTTACCGTCAGGTTCAAGACGAGCTGCCCATGGTAGGGGCCAATTTCCACCAAAAGGAGGCGAATGCATGGGACGCAGCAGCTGTGGTCAAGGTCGTTATCTTAATTATTGAAGGTTGATGGATAGCTGCAGGTAGGAGTACTTCCAACTCCAAGGCGCTGTGGTAAGAAGGCACTGAGTAAGATCTGAAACACAGCTAAGGTACTTACAAGACAAGCCCTACTTCGAGCCTGGTGTGTGTGTGTGTGGGATTGGTGGGTTTTGGGGCTTTGGCCTCGAAGGCTTCTACCTATAGTCTCCATTGTAGTTCCTTTTTTTGGTTTAACCAATTATATATTCAGGATTTTATAAGGTATCCCCAAAAAGGAACTACAATGGAGACTATAGGTAGGGTTTCGGGATCCTTACGGAGCCTGATGAACCCGAGAAAGCTCTCCCAAAAGGATTGTCTTGGTACTCTTTGCAGGCATCCGCCAAAGTCGCGCCTGCTTCAGAAACCTCCTCGCCTTCCCAGGCCCTTCAGTTGATCTTGCAGTTGATAGGGCGTAGGGTTTAGAGCTTACAGGTTTTGTGAGGGTTTGGGGATTTTGGGGTTGATGGCAGTATACAGTATAGGAAGGCAGCCGGAATCCTTCGCCGGCGAAGGTTCAGTCTGACTCTTTGGAGCTCTGCCGTGGGCCTATGTCTTCTGAAGCTCCCATGTGGGTTTGAGCCTTGGGATAGTTGCACAAATTGTGTCCCATACATACGCTACAGTATCTGCTTGCATGCGTTGGGGACAATCCCCTCAGACCCGCTGTCCTGATTCTTGGGCACCAGAATCATTCTTGAGCTCCAGAGCTGCAACTGCGTGGTAGTGACTTCATGCAACCACCTGATCAGCAAAGATCCTTCCATCACGGGCCTCAACGCTACGATCCCGGCTGCCGTAGTGATGGATGTACATTACTTTCCCAAAGACTCCAATGCTTCTTGACTAGCGACATGTCCTTGAATCACAGTACCCATCCAACCTTACATCGAACTATGTTGGAGTAGATAAGTGAGTGGAGCATTCTCGAGGCCAAGCGGGCCATCCAGACGGCCACGGAAACGTCGCTGAAGGCAGGTGCAGCTCTGCACTCTGCAGTCAGGTTCTTGGGATTTCCCGCACTTGCTTCGGGTGTCCTCATTTTAAAGGTTACTACTTGTAGACCTGGTGCCGCGCCAAAAGCATCTCGACCATCGAGTTCTGTACCGAGATCCTTTGAGTAAGTTTGCAGGATGCAGAGGCTTCGAACCCATTCAATGCAAATCCTGCAAAATCGACAGATGTACCAAGCAGGAGAGTCGAAATCCCGAAGAAGGTAGCTGGCGCGACCATGCGCCCGGCATCTGTGAGCTCCCAAGCCACAGCGCCCTCCTCGAGCGACTTGGGCCTTGCCTAGAGCACCGAGGTAGCTGAAACAAAACCCAAAGGGTCCTATGTACTGTTATGCCCGATACCGGGGATACTTCTCTGAATCATATTAGTAATTCCGAGTATAGAAACCCTACCTACATTCTACTATATAGGTACATGGACCCTTTTGGGGACCAGAATCAACACCGCGCCTGTCCCCATCAGAGATCAGCGGAACAGTAAGAAACACAGCTCTAAGTAAGCCCTTTCCCCGGGTGAGATCACTGTTGGGGCCAGTCATCCAGGCCTTATAAGGCCTTTGTAAACCCTTAGCACCTGATCTGTAGGATAATTATTCTGCGGGCCCCATTAAACGGGACTCATCAGGTCCGTTGCGAAAACCCGCAGAACCCCATGCAACTTTAACGGAAACCCCTCTTATCACTGATTTCGCGGTCCAAACTGATTGCGTCTCTAAGGATCGGCCGTCAAGAGCTTCACGCGGCTTTTCAGGACCTACCACATGGAAGGCTGACACAACGAAGCCCAAAGGGGGTGTAGCAAATGGGCTTTTGGCAGCAGCTATAAATAGAGTGCTTGCAGTAGGGCTCATATCATGGCTTATATTAAACATCCCCAAGACCCGGCTATCTTGAAGGCCTTTGAGGTTTCCAATCAAAGAGGACTTCAGAGGGTTTTGAGGTAAGACAGCTGAATTCCGGGTGCACGGTTTAGGGTCCTGAGGAAGCGATTCTTGCGTTGCCTGGTATGCTTTGTTTGGAAGGCTTTTGCTCTGATCATCTTTTCAAGCAAGTCCCCTCCCGCCGAAACCCTCAAGCTTTTCAGTTATATATGAGCCGAAAGCACCTTAAACACTGTAGCCCCAAGCCCTGAACCCTAAACCATGAAGCCTTGCGAGAGTGAGAGGACCCTAAAGCTCGAAGCCCGAAGCGAAGCCCGTGAAATCTGGGGGTCGACTGTCGCCCAGGTTCGGACGTCGAGGCGTCCAGGCCTGTTCCGCAGTACGAGTCATGGCTGGCAGAATACAGGGCCAGGTCGGGGCTTCGAGGGCTTCAGGGTTGGAGTCAGAGGGAAAGACAAGCTGAGAGTTGAAGCTTTTGGGTTTGACTGCACCCGTATATACTATCTCCCTTTTACTAGTTCTAGTACATCCTTTAACCTCCGACCCTAAACATCCTGACCGCCATGACATGAACCGAAGCCAAAGACAAAGTCCCGAGATGTCCCGAGGATCCGTTGCTCGAGGAGCTTTACGCCACCAAAGGGGGCCCGGGCCCCGCGCCATCGGCGGAGAAGGAGCCCTTGGTGTCGCCACAGTACGCCGCCCGTCTTCAGGAGCCCTTGACAAGGGGGTTCTGCCCTTTAAGCGGTTCCACAAGGGTTCTTTGAAGGTATTGGACCTTGGAGGGTTTAGGATTCGAGGGTTCCGGGATCTAGAGCTGTGGATCTGGGCTTTGGCAAGGATTGGCACGTTGGATGTTGTCAAGACTTGCGTGGTTTCAATCCTAGACGTCCACAATGCCTGTCGGCGCTAGTCTGGAACAGCGACCTACGATCGCAGCGTCTCAGTCAACAGGACGGGTTTAGAAGCATCAACCATGACGTTACCGACTGTGCTCATTTCATTTCAGGCTTACTAAACCCTAAACCCCAGAGGTTTAGAGACTTAAACCCTACCTATAGTCTCCATTGTAGTTCCTTTTTGGGGATACCTTATAAAATCCTTAATATATAATTGGTTAAACCAAAAAAAGGAACTACAATGGAGACTATAGGTAATGCTTGTTTTGGGGGAGGCCGAAGTCTTCTTGGAATCAGGTGACGCCGCTATCATGAGGGGCTGAAGCTTCCTTTCAACCCGACAAGGCTTCATATGCCCTGTCAGGAGGAGCTAAAACCGTAAACCCCACAGTATATGGGTAGTTCTCTAAATAGGGCCCCTTTTAGGGTCATGTTTTATAAGAGAGCCGTATGATTTTTTTTTGATTTGCAAAGGGACCCTAATTTAGAGACCTGGCCGTATTGCAAGTTGCTTGGTCATGAACTTCAGATTCCGACGCTTTTTCAATTTTGCCTAAACCCTAAACACCTGAACCCCTAAACCCCTAAAGCCTGACACAAATCGAGAAGTGCACAAAAAACTTTACAACTTTTGCAACTCTGGCCTGTGCAGCTCGCGAGGTGATGCTGGCGGCGGAGATCCTCGGGGTGGACCTCATTGAGGATACGGCTGTTGGGGATCTCAATGACCGGTTAGGGATTTAGGATTTAAGGTTTTTAGGGTTAGTTTTAGGGTTTAATTAGGGTTTATGAATCCGTGGAGTTTCCCGGCTTCTTGCAAGAGTCCCGGATGCAAAAGGGTTTATGAATCAGGGTTCCTTGAGGTGGGTGCGTTGGGGCTGTGAGGTTTGGAGGGGTCAGTGTCTGAGGGTTTCGCGTCTTGTAGTTGTAAGGTGTAAGGATTTCGGTTTTGGGGCAGCTGCGCTTTCAGGTTCTGGGGCCCTGAATGACCCCTGAATGACCCCTGGTCCCAAACTCCTAAACCCATAACTCCCACCCTAAATTCCGAAAATCCAAAGCCCTGAACTGCGAGCCGCAGGCCGTGATTGACACCCGCCTCAGTGAGTAAATTTCACGGCTTTCGCTTCTTGCATGGGCATCGGATTAAGGATCTTACCGGAGGTTATCTAAAAGTCGCCGCATTTAGACCCGGTACTGACTTACACTTACACAACATTCCTAAAAATCGAAACCAACTCACTTCCCTGTTCCCACGCTTTTGCCCCTGTCTGCCAGGATCCCTTTCTCGTGCCGCCGCTGACGCTTGGGCCAACAGAGTCACGAGTGAGTTGTCTGGGGTCCGCTGGTGTTAATGACTATGGTAGGGCTTGTAGTACGCTCGAGCCTTACACCCGTCCACGGTCTCAACAGATATCCTTATCTCTACCGGATTGCGACGAGGTTCAGGACGCATTGCGTCATGGGTTTAGGGGCTGGTTTGGCTTATAGGGTTGTAGGGATTCCTCGTCAAGGGGGCTTTGCGTGACAGATTCCGAGCTGTCTAGGGTGGGAGTGGATTTGCTTATACGGCACACGAGGCTTCTCTTCCGGGGTGGTCATCGCGGGGATCCCACTTGTGGCGATATTCGCCAGGCCATACAAGAGAGGCCCTAGTGCTTCTTCGACGGCGGGTGTGTGACTTTTTCGACGAAGAGCACTGCTTCAAGAACGGTTCTTGGTTTCCAGTGTGATCCCTCATGTACGGATCCCCTCCACTGAATCCTCATACCGACTCATACGAGCACCATTGCCGACGGCTTAAGCTCCAAACTTGAATCCCCAGGCCTGAGGCACGTTCCCACATAGAGGGAATCACAACCCGAAATTTGAGCCTGAACCCCAAAACCCTGCACTAAACCTCCGACCAACCCTACAATCTAAAGCCCCACCCGGCTAAACCCGAAGCCCCAAAGGAAGCTCGCACTGCCTGCCCTGGCTGCCGCCTTCCAGCGGGGCGAGCTCAACGAGGCGTGATTGCTCCCGGTTTAGTGTTTACATGCGGTTATTGTGTCTAATGGATGTTTAGGCTTGGGCTTTAGGATAAAGGGTTGTGCGTGGGACGTGTGTGTTCGTTTCTCTCTCTCTCTCTCTCCTTCCCGCTCCCTCCTACTGTACAGATAAAGATACATTTACGTATACACATTTGGTGCTGATGCTGATACATTGACGTGTACATATACATTATACATGTGTATACAACCAACTAAATACGCATACATATTATACAATGTCGATTGTTTATAGTGTAAGAAGCACACCATGCCTAATGTGAAAAGTCTCGCACTGGCAATAGGTTCAATAGACCCTGAGCTTTGCAAGTGGGATTGAACTCCGCCGCCAGGACAGTGTGGACGAGATTTACAAGGCTCGGGGAATCACAGAGCAAGCCCGCACTTTCAACGCTTTGAACTCTAAGCCCGAGCCTCCCCGTTTCCGGTCGGCAGGAATTCGTAACGCATTCATATTACTTTGTCATAGAGTGCCGAGTATGTCTAAGTAGCTTATGGTAGTTTAAGGAGCCCTCTGTGATCGGTTTTACAACCCAAGCAATGCCTGCCTAGTCGAGGTACTTGTTGACAAGTTCTCTCACAACCCGGACAAGGTATATGGAAACCCAAAACCTGGAACCCCGATACGCCCGGAAAGTCCAAACTCAAAGTTATGAGAGCATTTCAGGTATACGCCAAAGAGTAGTTCGTTGAAGCTTCAGGTATTCCTTAAGCGCCCCAAGAAAACCACAAAGCCCCAATTTCTAAACTTCAATTTCAATCCCGACAAACCGCCCCTGAACCCGCAAACGCTAACCCTTAAAACCCCGTGGCCTTCCACCGCATTCGAACCCTAATGGAACCCTAAACGCCTAAACCCGAAACAGCATTTTTTGGGCATTTTTTGGGGACTCTTGGTGGAGGCCTTGGCCTCAGCTCGGGCCTCCGCGAAGACCGAGGAGGCCGAAGCAGAGGCCATGAGAGCGCTATGAAGAGTCGGACATAAGATGTGCTTTCATCGTTCCCGTTTTTGTGATGGGTACATACACATACATGTGTACATAAACACACATAATATGTATATATATATATATATATATATGCTCGCCCCCCCCCCCCAAGATCTACACCTACGCTTTCGTGGATCATGGGGCATGGGGTGCACGAAACACCTGTAATGCTCAAAAAATTCCAAAATTTCTAATCCCCAATCTCACGAAACCCTGTAATGCTCAAAA